TTCAATGCCTAAGATTTCCACTTGTTGACTTTAACACGGCCCACAGTACGGTAGGCCATGACGGTCTGCTGCACCGTCTTCCTATAAAATAGGTTAACTTTAGCATTATCTGTTTTCTTATCACTCATTTCGACCCCCTTTCATTTTTATGAAAGTCTGCTACCTAAATTCAGGCAGTTGTTTCAACTTGGCATTTCGCATCGCATAAGGCATTGGACCATCGCTTACGCCGTTAATTCTCTATATAACCAAAGTTCGGGTTTCAATCTGATTTCGTTTACTTCAGATATGTAGGCTATTATGTAATTTTATGGGTGATGAGACCAGAAGGAAATTTTCGTTGTCAGAGCTGATCCGTTGTTGCTCTCTGAAGTCAACGCTTCAATTCTCCAAAACCTATAGGAGTACGAGCCTTCCATTCCATACATCGCAAGCCTTCCTCATTGGTATAGACAAAAATCAGACAACTCACGGGTGACAATTACCTTAACTTTCTCGAAGGTCACTGAATCAATATGTTCCAGCCTGCTGTATAACCGAACAGACCTTGCGTTATTGTTGGCATTTTACACTACGGTAGTATCGGTATAAAGTAAGAAACCAGTTTTGTAATACTTTGGAATGGTTAATAGCCATTGCGTGGTGAAAACAATTATTTCGCTCGAGCCACTCTTTTCTGACAGAGTACTCCTCGCTTTGAATTTCACCGAAGTCGCAAAGAGGAAATTCCTGTAAATTACGCCTCTGCGTGAGGTTGGCTCCTCTGCCACCGGAAATACAAAGGTGATTGAACGCTGTTCAGTGGTGAAGTGGGAAAAAGAACTCAGCGAGACTCTAAGACAAGATAAGCTGCTTGTCAACAGCATTTACTTCGTTCTTCCTAAATCTCCATCGACAAATGCAGCGTTTAAGTTGTCAGCATTCACAGCACAACTGCTGAGACGAAAAAACAACAGCGAAACTCCATACCTCCAGGTAGAATGAAACGTATTTACTGTCTGCAGCAAACAAAAGGTTTTCATGCTTAGAAATCGTACATTGCCGACTAACACATTGCTGACATTAACACCGAGAATCGCAAAGCGGTTTCTGCTACACCATGAACTCTACTTGGTCATCCAAAAACATGATGAAATAATTGGATGATCAAGTTGCTTGTCAGGCGAATGAGACAGAAAACAGAGAATCTTGGGCGCAGACCATGAGAATTAGAAGCATAACATGAAAGGTATAGGGTCATTGTTCTCAGACGTGCAGTAAATTTGCTCACTGCAGAAGCGCAGATAAAAGCAGTTGCACACAACGTAGGGAGCCCGTCTACAGAATGAAAAAGCGCAAGTGTTATTTCGTCCAGCACCTCATTGATCTTATCAAAGGTACTCTTAAAGACATGAATTTGTTGATATATAGTGAGTGTTGGGAAGATAACAGCCGAGCAGTACAGTTGAGAATATGAAGCATCAAGGGAGATCAGTAGGTTACATGGTAATTATTTCTACAGGTGCAATTAACTTGCTCACTGCAGCAACACGGAAAACAATTCAGGTATACATGCACAACGTAGTAAGTCCATTTATCGGGTGATAGAACGCTACTGCTATTTCGACCTGTACCTCATGGGTCCTGCCGAAGGTAATCTTAAAGATGTGAATTTGTTGCGAGATAGTGAGTCACTGGAAGATAGCAACCGAATATGATGTATTATGGAAAAGCCGCAAACTACAGGGCAACTGTTTCTAGAGGTGCAGTAAACATGTTCATATTCGACAAAAAAACAATTAAGTTGTACACAATGTAAGGAGCCAGTTATCGGATGATAGACTGCTACTTTTGCGTCGGCTTGTACTTCTTGGAAACAGTTGAACATGATGGTGCTAGCAGTTGGTCGGTACAGATCTAATAGGTACTAAGGAGAGTCAAACAGAATCAATATCCTTGGTGACGGCTGACACCTCTACAAGACGGGTAACTGCGTAATTGACATTACTGTTAAGTCAGCTTCTTCTACTGACGATGTCACCAATGTCTGATTAATGGTATGCCTTATGCCCGCGCGATTCACGGGCCTGGTTCACATTGCAACTTGATCTTACAAAATAGACTTATTTATTCCCGGTTATATCACATAACATCATCTCTAGAAAACACCTGGCTTGCTTTGACATCCATACTGTTACAGTAAGCGTGCGAAATCAGGAAGAACGCGTTTTCTTTCGCAATTCAATAAGTTGCCTCGGCGTTTCTACTAGCACTTAACACAGATGTACCGTAACAGAACTAATGCTAGGAATTTAACCCTACTGGCTGGAATGAATTAACACACATACTTATGAACTGTTGCATCGTCACTACGTCTGAAAAACGAAAGGATAGTCATTCATGAAGACGCCTACCAACAAACTGAAAGAACAGAATTGTATTCTAACCTCGTACTGTTGCCCAGGTTGAAGTAGACTCCAGAAGCAACACAAAATTAGACGATTAAAATTACTTGAAATTTCATGGCCGTTGCCACAAAAGATTTTATATCATTTGATCGTATGAACGCCTAAATCATGAGTGGACACAGCACTGGGGATAACAGCGAGCAAAAATAACTAAATTTACAAGTATTTCACTAACAACCTCAAATGGCGACCTGCTACTTCAAATCGAATATTTCAATCAGCAACGGTTCAACATCTTTAGGATTGACGTCATTCAGCATCATGTACGTTTTTCGGTTTAACCGATGAAGCTTCTCCAGATTTTCAACAAGACACGAATATACCTGAATGCCTTCACTTTCGCCATAAACGGAATTCAAGAAACTAAAATTTACACATAATTACAACATTCACTTTTTAGTCAATCGTAGCAAACAATTTGTCAATAATTTTTTGTCATAAGAAATTTATGTGGATCAAAATTTAATTAGAATCAATTTTGTTATGCTTTCTTTTGTTATATTCTGATAATCTACTCAAGATCTTGCATAATAGGCTAGCACTTGTTACAAAAGACTTTAATTTCGCATAGAACAGTATTCAACGGGCATCAAAAGAAGAAAGAAGATACTCTTCCGTATTCCTTTCATACGGGTGATGAGCGTCGTAGCGCAAGTGGAACAACCTAACTGCTTATCAGATACAAGAATGCCTCCTTTAACAAAAATGGCTTTTCCGGCATGACAGATCTTTAAACTTAAATATTAATCGGCTTCGGGAATAGAAAAAACCAGGGTAGTAGAAAACTTTTTAGCGATAGAGTTAAGGCACGAAACCAATATACAAGTATAGACAGATTTTTAAAAAGCGTGAGGTACAGAGCAAAGTCAGAAAAGTAGAGAAAGGAAGGATATCAAACGAATCTGGTAAAAGTATTAAAGTTAAAGAAAAAGGAAATAAGAAATCGAGGGCGGAAATCACATGATATACTTCCAGGCAGAACACATGTCCACAGGAATTCTGTAATTGCTGCAAATCCTTGGCTTGTTGAATGAACCATGCAAGCATCATTAATAAGAAGCGCTAGCTTGACTCTTTCGCGGACAAGAATCGTTCATTTCTGTACTGTTGAAAATATATTTGCATTCTAAGGCATGTGCAATAATGTCGGAATGCTCTTCTTGATCATATCTTGAAGCCCTTAAATATTCAATTTAAAGAATCTGTCTTTTAAAAGTATACATCCTATCACAGTTAAAAAAACTGATAAAA